GAAATCTTTTTGTATCCAAATCCGGCTTTAAACTTCTCCACAACAGTATCTCGGACCTGCCTGGTGTGTTCCTTTGTCTTCATGGTTCTCTCTGCGCTTTAAACAGAACCCTGAGACTATCAAAGAGCAGGTGCATTTATACGGAGACTTGATTACACACAGGTGCATTCTATTTATCATCATCAGTCATTTAGGACAACATTGGATCATTCAGAGATCCTCACTGAACTTCTGGAGTGAGTTTTCTGCACTGAAAGTAAAGGGGCCGAATAATATTGCACGCCCCACTTTTCAGTTTTTTATTTGTTAAAAAAGTTTAAATTATCCAATAAATTTCGTTCCACTTCACGATTGTGTCCCACTTGTTGTTGATTCATGACAAAAAATTAAAAATTTTTATCTTTGTTTGAAGCCTGAAATGTGGCGAAATGTTGAAAGGTTCAAGGGGGCAGAATACTTTCGCAAGGCACTGTATATATGAGATATATGATATATAATATATAATAAGGTTTGCCTGGATCGGTTTGCACACCTAGTGAGCAATCCATGAATCTTGGTGCTGTAACCTAGGCTAGCCTAGCCGTGGCTGCTGCTGCTGTCTCACCTCCTTTCAGATACGCTCTCTTTATTCAAGGCTAGGTTTAAAACAGTCCTCTTTAGTTTAGCATATGGCTAGGAAGGTAAGACTCAGGGAAGGCTAAACTCCTCAGACTGTCAGTCAAGCTGCATAGGGAGTCAGTTTGCTGGGAGAAGTATGGTAGCTTGATCACTATCCTCTCCTCCTTCCTACTTTACCTGTTTAGCACTATTAGGATTTTGATGGTAGTTTGTTCATTGCTATTCACCCGTTGTCCCATTGTCTCTTTCATGGAACGATGACGGGATCTCTGAGCCTGGCCTCCTCCATCTACACTGCCCTACCCGACCCGCCTGGGAGTGCTTCAGTCCTGCACCGGACCTGTCCACGTTCAGCGGATTACTTTATTTACTATAAATAAAGTAATCTTTATTTATATACCACCTTTCACAGACCAGTCAAAAAGCGGTTTACATTTGTTTTTGTTTTTTTTGGCCACTTATTCTCTCACTCCACAAAGAGATGGGAGCGGGGTCGCCGAACAGGAGGCGCATGCCAGACCTATTGTACATATTTTTAGTGGTAGGGGAAACAGGAGTACCCAGAGGAAACCTACGCAGACATGGGGAGAACATGCAAACTCCACTCAGAAAGGCCCTGGTCCGACCGGGATTCGAACCCAGGACCTTCTTGCTGAGAGGCTAGAGTGCAATCCACTCAGCCACCGTGCCACTGGTCCACGTCCTATAGCTAGCTTAGGTCCTAGATCATTAGCCTGTCCGTCCGGAGGAGCGGATCCCTTTCTCTTTAGTAGTAGTAATCTTTATTTATATACCGCCTTTTCACTGCACATCGGAGTCTCAAAGCGGTTTACAATTGTTATTTTTGGGAGCGGGGCCAGTTCAGGAGGCGCATGCCAGACCTATTGTACATATTTTTAGTGGTAGGGGAAACCGGAGCACCCGGAGGAAACCTACGCAGACACGGGGAGAACATGCAAACTCCACTCAGAAAGGCCCTGGTCCGACCGGGATTCGAACCCAGGACCTTCTTGCTGAGAGGCGAGAGTGCTATCCACTCAGCCACCGTGCCGCCCAAATGGGTCTCCCTCCCTGTGGGTTTTTCCACAGGGAGGAGTTTTTCCTTGTTGATGCAGGAGGGTCTTGTTGGACAGTTAGTTTCCAACAGAAAGGATTGGTGATGATCCAGGACACTTTAGCATTCTTCAACATGTATGGACATTTTCTTCTGTGTGTGTATTTTTCATGCAGAGCTGTGGAGGCCGCGACTCCTCGTGTGAGTGCGCCCTGAACCCTACCGGGGGAACCACCCTGATGACCCTTGACCTAAAAGCCGAAGTAACAACCTTAGGCAGAAAGGCTGGGTTCGGCCAAGCTCAACTACTCCATCCTCAGCACCGAATGTCAGGCATTCCGGGCGAACCTGCCCTCTTGGTTGAGAGCCAGCAAGAGGGCGGTATTGAGAGCCACAAACTCGGGGCTGGCCTGGGCCACAGGCTCGAAGGGAGGTCCCGATAACCCCCTCAAGACCAGAGCGGGGTGGTCCTCCGGAGAACGCGCCTCTTCCGGTGGGCCCCCCGAAGGAAACGTTTGACCAGTGGGTGGGAACGGGCCGAAAATGTCCCAAACCCTCCGTGGCCAGAGGTAATGGCTGCTGAGAACACCGCCAGGGGGCCGGCAGTCCTCCCCTTCTCCAATAATTCTTATAGGAACCCCAGGACCCCTTCCAGAAGGCAGGACATGGGGTCCCAAGAACACACCGCGCACCAGCCATTGGAAACCCTCCACCTACAGCCGTAGGCCGTGACAGTGGAAGGGCCTCTCGCGCCCTGAATGGTCTCCACTACTGACTGAGGGAGACCCAGACCTACGAGAGTCCGCCTCTCAGCCTCCAGACCCAGAGTCTGTGGCCCAGTACCGGGCGCGAGTAAAGCGTCCCCCCTCCTTGGACCAGAGCCCCGGGCTCGTCCGGGAGAGACCAAGGGTCGCACACCGCCATGCCCTTCAGGAACGGGAACCAGCAGGCATACGGGCTGTCCGGGGCGATGAGGATCACTTCCCGACCCTCTTGCTCGATTCTCCACAGAAAAACCGGCAAGAGGCGAGTCGGGGGAAACGCATATAGAAGGCCCCCCGGCCACGGGTAATGCGCCAGGGCATCCACCCCCAGGGGTGGATTGTCCGTGTGCCGCAGCGCGAACCAGAGTGGGCACAGAGCGTTGCCTGCACTGGCGAATAGGTCGACTGAACCTCTGCCATACCTGCGCCGCTATCTGCGGGGCCAGGCCCCACTCCTCCCTGAGTGGGCCCCCCCTGGACATTAGATCCGCCCCTGTGTTCCTGTCTCCGGGAACGTGGCGTGCCCTGAGAGACAGCAGATTCACATCTGTCCAGAGCAGAATGAGAGCCGCCAGGCGATGGAGACCGGGGGATCTTGTGCCTCCCTGCCTGTTTATGTAGGCCACGACGGTGGTGTTGTCCGAACGCACCCCCCTGCAGCAGCGGTGCAAAGTGCAGCAGCACCCTGCGCACTGCCTCCATCTCCAGTAGATTGATGTGCGGAGATGGGTCTGACCAGAGCCCTCCCACGGAGCTCTGGCCCAGAACCCCTCCCCACCCCTCGAGAGAGGCGTCCGTAAACACTTCCACGTGTGATACGGAGCCTTTTAGAGGAACCCCGTCCCGCATCACACCCTGGGTGAGCCAGAAACTGATGTCTGATCTCACCCTGGGGACAACCACTAGCATGGTTGCTGCGTCCCAGGAGGGGTGAAGTCTGAGACCGGAAAACCATCTCTGAAATCCTCTCATGTGGAGAAGACCCAGACGTATAACCGCATGGGCTGCCGCCATCATCCCCAGGAGTGACCTGAGACAACGAGAAGACACCCTGGGGGCGGTCAGCGCCCTGGTGGCCAGCTGTGAGAGGCTCTCCTGTCTGTCCACGGACAGAGCCGCTCGGAACTCCACCGAGTCCAGCTGCAGACCGAGGAAGAGCGCGCGCTGGGCAGGCTGTAACCTGCTCTTCTCTCTGTTCACCACAAAGCCCAGCTGTTGTATGTGAGACAGAACCCGGCGCGTGTGCTCCAGGGCCACTTCCCTGGACTGGGCCAGAATTAACCAATCGTCTATGTAGGTTAAAATTCTGACCCCCGCGCGTCTGAGCAGCATCAGGGCTTGCCTCCACGCATTTTGAGAAGGTGCGAGGGGCCAGCGCGTACCCGAATGGGAGGCGGCAGTCTCCGGTTCTGACGCCTTCCAGCAGGTGTTTGTGACGAGCCTGCGGAACCGGCGCTTGGAATTCTACATCCTGGTGCTACACCCCCTAGGTCTACGTCAGGGGTAGCCCTAAGGGGCTACGCGCTCCTTCGTAGAACTAGGTTACATTAGGTAACTAGCTGTTAGTAGAGGGGGAGCATTAGACTCGAAGTACTCCTCTCACGAGCCCCGCCCTCTCCTGGTGCTCCCAGAGTAGAGAGAGAGGGGGGGAGGGGGGGCAAAAAGGGCATGCAGCCCCCCTGTGATATGCTGTGTGAGACAGAGAAAGTCCCTGGCCTCTCTGCCTCACTTATCGTAGCCTGATTTGCCCGTTTGCACTGGTTGCTATGGGAACAGGTTGCCATGGCAACGAGGCCAGTACTTTGGACCAATCGTTGTGAGGTCCTCATGTGTTTTCCCGCCTCATACCTCTCAGGGAATGAGGCGCTGGGGTTGCCAGGGAGCACTGGTTTCCCTGGTAACAGCGCCAGACTTCTGGACCAATAGCTGTGCGTCCCTCGACTGGTCTTTCCCGCTCCCTGTTTTCCCGCCTCAAACCTCTTAGGGAATGAGGCGCTGCCATGGATATTATATTAACTGGATAGGGTATTACTAGCTTGTAGCTGAATAACTCATGTGCTTGGGGGAATCTCGCGGTAATGCAGACTAAACCAGACTAAATTCACGTGGGCTACCCAGAAATTTTCCCCATAGGACTCAATGCATATTAAAACAGCTCAACCTCAGCTGACAAAGAACCTACAGCTTTCATAAAGGTCGGATTTTGTGGGGATTTTAGTGTCCCTTGTCATCCTGAACTTTTTTTCTTCTTAAATCCTTCGGTTTTGTTTAAATCCACACTTTAGTGCCACAAACTCTGCTCGTCTGGCTCTCGCTCTAACTCCCGCTCTGATTGGTCAGAACGCGGCCGAGCCCCTCTGTGCACGTGCGTGAGACCCGGTGTGAGACCCACACACGCGTGTTTGGCGCAACGCATTGTGGGAGATCATCCACTGCGCAGAACCGGGAGGACCAGACGATGCCCAAATACAGGCGAGTTTCCCATAGATCTTTGCGAGTTCCAGGCGACTTCCGCTGTTCTTTCAGCCCCCATGCCATCACAAAGCGCCACTGAGCACAACCATTCATTTGAATAGGGCGCCATCTTGGATCGCCGGGGCTTGGGCGCTGCGGTTACCAGGGGCCACTGGTTTCCCTGGTAACAGGGACAGACTTCTGGACCAATAGCTATGTGTCCCTCGACTGGTCTTTCCCGCTCCCTTCTTCTCAGAGAGGGCGGGGCGCTGGTCGCCCTGGTAACGGGTCTGGTCTGGTCACACGTGTGAGAATCAAGGTCCTTTACTCGTGAATACGTGTCATAATGAAAACAAGCAGAATCTCTGTGGGTCTGTCGTCTGCGCCCACGTGACCCCAGGCTTATAACAACGTGCTGCGCTGTGTGTGAGTCCCAGACCTCTCCCAGTGCAGACAACTCGCTTAAGCAAAACACGCAGTCTCAAACACAGAGCCAGGTGCTGCGCTGTGTGTGAGTCCGAGGTCTCTCCCAGAGTGATATGCTGCGTGTGAGACAGAGAAAGTCCCTGGCCTCTTGAAGCAGCTTGATATGCCCGTTCCTCTCCACTCAGCGGAGAGGAAGCACTGGCAGACGAGTCATTAAGCAACGGACAGTCTCACACACAAAATACGGGTTGTTTCTCTTTATTAAGAAAGCCTCTGCCCTCTCGTCCGCCCCTACTGTACGGGGAAGACGTACACCTCCGCAGATCCACTCCGGACCTCGGGGTCTCGCTGAAAGAGAGCGGGTCTGGAGAGTAGCGATCCGCGAAAAGAGCAGAGTGCTTCTGGGACTGAGACTGCTCTCTGGTCTGGTCTGAGATTTTGAGGGGGTGTTACAGGAGTGGAATGGTACCTGTCATCACAGAGAGGTCTGCGTTGTTATTGAAGATGGTGTGGACTCCCAGTTCCTGCAGAACGTCCTTCAAGTCCAACTTCTGCTCCACTTTGAACCTGAAATTAAACACACAACTATGTAATGGGGAATACTGTAAATCACCCTCCTTACGGCAGGGGTCTCAAACCTATAGCTCGGAAGCAACCCGTAGCTTGCCACCCCTTTCAAAGTAGTTCCCTAAAGGATTTAGAATATGCTGAATAATTTCACATTATACAAACACTGAAAATGCCCTGCAGCATTATAATAGCTTATCGTATGTGCATACAAGGTGAGACAGAAAAAAAGAACTAAAAGTAACTGCCATAAAGTGCAGTCCCATTCCTGGATCCTGACAGTGATCAAGGAAGATTTGGGAGGATAATCTCCAAAATTTGAATGTTTTGTTTTTTGTCCCATTCCTAAGATGTATTGTCATACAAAATCTCATAACATTCTAACTCAAGCTGCAAATAAACAAGTGCCAATGAAAACATTCCCTGCAGAGGTAATAATTCGCCCCATTTCCACCGCAGGAGTTCCTGGTAAAAGGAGCAGGGTGGAACTTTCACAGTAACCTTCCTCTCCCTCATTGTCCGTGTCTCCACTGCAGAGTGGGACCACTCGGCAACGTCATGTATTTCGATTTCAGCATAATCGAAACTCAATACGCCAAACCCGTATTATTATACAGTGCCTTGCGAAAGTATTCGGCACCCTTGAACCTTTCAACATTTCGCCACATTTCAGGCTTTAAACATAAAGATATAAAATTTAAATTTTTTGTCATGAATCAACAACAAGTGGGACACAGTCGTGAAGTGGAACAAAATGTATTGGATAATTTAAACTTTTTTAACAAATAAAAAACTGAAAAGTGGGGCGTGCAATATTATTCGGCCCCTTTACTTTCAGTGCAGCAAACTCACTCCAGAAGTTCAGTGAGGATCTTTGAATGATCCAATGTTTTCCTAAATGACTGATGATGATAAATAGAATGCACCTGCGTGTAATCAAGTCTCCGTATAAATGCACCTGCTCTTTGATAGTCTCAGGGTTCTGTTTAAAGCGCAGAGAGAACCATGAAGACAAAGGAACACACCAGGCAGGTCCGAGATACTGTTGTGGAGAAGTTTAAAGCCGGATTTGGATACAAAAAGATTTCCCAAGCTTTAAACATCTCAAGGAGCACTGTGCAAGCAATTATATTGAAATGGAAGGAGTATCAGACCACTGCAAATCTACCAAGACCCGGCCGTCCCTCCAAACTTTCATCTCAAACAAGGAGAAGACTGATCAGAGATGCAGCCAAGAGGCCCATGATCACTCTGGATGAACTGCAGATAACTACAGCTGAGGTGGGAGAGTCTGTCCATAGAACAACAATCAGTCGTGCACTGCACAAATCTGGCCTTTATGGAAGAGTGGCATGAAGAAAGCCATTTCTCAAAGATATCCATAAAAAGTCTCGTTTAAAGTTTGCCACAAGCCACCTGGGAGACACACCAAACATGTGGAAGAAGGTGCTCTGGTCAGATGAAACCAAAATCGAACTTTTTGGCCACAATGCAAAACAATATGTTTGGCTTAAAAGCAACACAGCTCATCACCCTGAACACACCATCCACCAACTGCTGCCACCACCAAACATGGTGGTGGCAGCATCATGGTTTGGGCCTGCTTTTCTTCAGCAGGGACAGGGAAGATGACTAAAATTGATGGGAAGATGGATGGAGCCAAATACAGGACCATTCTGGAAGAAAACCTGTTGGAGTCTGCAAAAGACCTGAGACTGGGACGGAGATTTATCTTCCAACAGGACAATGATTCAAAACATACAGCCAAATCTACAATGGTGTTAGAATGGCCAAGTCAAAGTCCAGACCTGAATCCAATCGAGAATCTGTGGAAAGAGCTGAAGTAAGTAATAAGTAAGTAATCTGTATTTATATACCGCCTTTTTCACTGCAGATCTGAGTCTCAAAGCGGTTTACAATTGTTAATGTTGGGCATTTGTCTCTCACTCCACACAGAGATGGGAGCGGGGTCGCCAGTACAGGAGGCGCATGCTAGAACTATTGGACATATATTTAGTGGTAGGGGAAACCGGAGTACCCGGAGGAAACCTACGCAGACACGGGGAGAACATGCAAACTCCACTCAGAAAGGCCCTGGTCCGACCAGGATTCAAACCCAGGACCTTCTTGCTGAGAGGCGAGAGTGCTATCCACTCAGCCACCGTGCCGAGTGGATGGCCGAGATTTGCTGTTCACAAACGCTCTCCATCCAACCTCACTGAGCTGTTTTGCAAAGAAGAATGGGAAAGAATTCCAGTCTCTCGATGTGCAAAACTTTTTTTTTTAACATAACATAACATAACATAACATAACATAACATAACATAACATAACATAACATAACATAACATAACATAACATAACATAACATAACATAACATAACATAACATAACATAACATAACATAACATAACATAACATAACATAACATAACATAACATAACATAACATAACATAACATAACATAACATAACAACATAAAATAAAATAAGAATACATCAAACAACGTGGAGAGGGAGGGGGGAGTTAACATCACAGTCTTTCCATGACAAAAATAAAATAAATGCCTCTGTAATTATCGAGATAAATACAGACAACAAACAGACCTGGAGCCCAGACACAATATGCCATCAATAGGCATTAAGCATACTTATCGTATTTATCATTTAGTTGGCACGTTTGATAAAGAAAACAAAAAGCAGACTGAGCTTTTACCTTCCTGACACCACATCCTTTGACCCAACCCCAGCTATGAGTTGCTTAAGATCCAGATCCATACTGTCATCGTTAATCGTTAATAATTTCTTCCATGGCTAGTAAATCTGTAAATTCGTGTATCCACTTTTCTACTGCAAAACAGTTTAATTTACAATGTTTCCAATTCCTTATTATCATTCTTTTAGCCGCAATGAAAGCTATATTAGCTATCTTATAGTTCTGTTTGTTTTCCAGTTGAGTATCTCTGAATCTGAGTAAGCAAGTAGCTGGGGAAGGGCACAGGTTAATACTTAATAGTTTTGAGACTGCATTTACTATCTGTGTCCAGAAATGTGTAATATCAGGGGAGTACCAAAGCATATGTATTAATGTTCCCCTTTGACCACAGCCTCCCCAGCATAAGTCTGAGGTCTGTGGGTCTATTAAGTTGAGTTTGGCTGGAGTTATATAAGCTCTATGTAATCATTTGAATTGTATCATCCTTCCATTCTGAAATGGTAATTGTTTGTCCTAGATCTTGTCCCCATTTTGATTCTGTTTGTTTATTTACAGTCTGGTCTGAGTTAATAAGTAGTTTATACAGACCCGAAACTGTCCCTTTATTAATCACCAACTTTCTGTATTTGTTATCCATTTCACTATCATATTTAAAGTATTCCTTCGGTAGTCTGGAGAAAACTGAAGCTATTTGGGCGTATTGCAAAAAGGCATTTGTACATAAGCCATATTTAGTTCTCAGCTCCTCAAAAGACCACAGTGAACCTTGATTGGAAATTTGCAGAATGTTATTTTGTTTCCATGCTTTATTTGTTAAAGGATTCCCTGCAGCTGTAATTGCCATATTGTTCCATATTGGACAGGATGCAAGTACCAATTTTGTATTACCCAATTGTTGGCGCATTTTCTTAATGGTTGTACAGGTCAGCCGCATAAGAGGGTTCTTAAGTTTAACAGGTAGATATGGGTGATACCATAGTGATGCTAGTGAAATGGATGCATTATTTTCTTTAAATACTTGTTCTTCCAGCCAATCCCAACTCCCTTTCTCTCGTATCTTCCTATAACCCCATGCTAAACCATATCTGACATTAAATGCAATATAATACAGAAAGATGTCTGGAATACCTAGACCACCTTAGTCTCTCTGTAGAGACAGTTTTTTTATATTGATCCTGGGTTTTTTGTCTCTCCATAGGAAAGAGCTAAACATTTTCTTCACATCATCAAACCAACACATTGGTATATTAAGAGGCACTGAGGAGATGAGAGAGAGAATTCTTGGGAGAATATTCATCTTAATTATTTCAACTCTGCCCCACAGAGACAATGGCAGTGATGACCATCTCTTAAGGTCTTCTTTTATAGTATTTGTTAGTGGATGTAAGTTTTTTTCCATAATTTTGTCTATCGGCAACCCAATTGTAACCCCCAAGTATTTCATGCCCTCATTTTTCCAGACAAAAGGAGCTGTACCCAAGTCTTTTTTATATGTAAAGTAATTTAGAGGTATAGCTTCACTCTTGCTCCAGTTAACCTTGTACCCTGATATTTTACCAAATGTGTTTATATTCTGAAGAATTTTAGGGATGGATTGTGATGGTTTTGTCAATGTCAATAAGATATCATCTGCGTACATGCTTAATTTGAATTCATGGTTTCCCACTTTTATTCCTTCTATTTCTTTATCCATTCGGATCATACATGCTAACGGTTCTAGTGCAAGAGTGAATAAAATTGGGGATAACGGACATCCTTGTCTCGTGGAGCGAAAGAGCTGAAAGGGTGTAGAGATGACATTGGGTGTTGGTATATAGCTTTTATCCATTGCAGACAATTTGGGCCAAAACCATATTGAGACAGAGCATGAAATAAATATGACCATTCTATCCGGTCGAAAGCTTTTTCAGCATCCAGTGACACAGCGATCACTGGGTGCTGAAAAGAACCTGCCCTATCCATTAATTGGAAAAGTCGCCTCATGTTATTGGACATCAGACGTCCTGGTATGAAACCAACTTGGTCTAGGTTCACTAAACGGGGAATTATTTTCTCCAAACGATTTGCCAAAATCTTGGCAAATAGTTTGTAGTCACTGTTGAGCAAACTTATGGGCCTATAATTGTTTACCTGCAACTGGTCTTTGCCTGGTTTAGGAATTAATGATATAATGGCAGTTCTCATTGTTGGTGGCATACATTGTTTTTGTATTATATTATTGTATAGCACTGTTAGAAAGGGAGCCAATTCCTTGGAGAAGCATTTGTAAAATGCTGCTGTGTAGCC